ATATTCCCCTGCAATCTTTCGTTTGACGGTGCTCTCCTTTTATTAACACGACATCTTAGAAAAGGCTTCCGTCTTGGAAAGTAAAAATTGGAGCAAATTATATCTAACTTCTAAAAAGGAGGACAATCTGGAGCTGGTTTTGATTGGAAAATGACTGGCCTGTGGAGGGCTTGTACACTGTTCCTCAAATGAACGAGTGATTAGCCCTGTCCTACTGATGAGTTGAAATGGGACAGCGGTTTTCCTAGGCTTAAGAAAACTATAAAATTAACAAAAATTAGATTCCTATGTTAGTTTTTTGTTCCTGTCTTTCTTTCGTAGTCTTCACATGATAGAACACTCCCATTAATCTGAATGGCTAGTTAAAGTCGATTCCATTTCAACCACATATCGTTATAGGGGAAGTAAAATTGGCTGTTCCGTTCGAAAAATGTAATAATCACATTTCAGGAGGTGATAACCGATTTATGCGAGAAAATGGACTGTTTGCCCGCCGTATTGGGTGCCGATTCACAGACCTTGGCACGTCAGCAAAGTCAGCAAGTGAATTTTCACCAATCAGTGATTCCCATCGCTAAACGGGTAAGGTACCATTCATTTTCGTGCATTCAGCTCAAAGTTAGAAAAAGGGAAAGTGAGAGGATTCTCTCCAGATTTTCAGTTTTTTCACAAGCATTTGTTTGTAACAGATGACCTCGCCTCCTTCGAAAAAGGGGTGCTTTTTATTAGCAGCTGGAGCATTGACAATTTTTATGGACACATTATTTATTGGAATATTCCGCCTGAATGACTCTTTGTCACCGTACTTGATCATAAGTGATGTTAAAATGCGCATGCCTGCAGAGTCACACTTTCTCATGTGGTAGGTGGAGGTGGGAAACTACCAATTTCACATTCTCAAATCCCAGCAGAATGCGTACCATAGTTATTCTGATTCAAAAATATTTTAAGACAATAATTAAACAAGATGAAAGGTATGTCACTAAATTTACAAAAGCCTTTGTCATTTTTTCGGTTCCAAAAAGCAACTTTACTTTGTTTGTTTTTAATCGCATTCTTCCTTCCCTTTTAACAAGACCCCAAAAATGCATTAACTTATTTAGGAGCAATAAATTTCCTGTTATTTTCTTGTAAGGTAAACAAATTTTAGAGGTTTTTTCTTCTCCTTCCGACGAAAAAACTATAATGGGGACAACTACGGATAATGTCAAGCTGGGCAGAAGGTAAAATTCCATTTTCCCGGTCTCGCCAGCTGAAGTGAGCATACGGCTGTATGAAGGAATGCAAAATTGGACAAGTAAACAGGGTTTCGTTGACGATCGGAGTGTCCCTGCCTATGCCCTATCCCTGGGGCTACAAAGGTACTGCCATTGGTCACGAGATCGACCCAACCTGTCTTTTGTTACCCCTTTCTAAGGGGTCACACGTAGTCAGCCAACTCTATACTTAAACCGTCCGGTCTCAGGCACGTCATTATTAGTTGTGAGCTGTTTACTTCTCAATTGCTCGTAAACTGCAAAAAAATAAGACATTCTTTACTGGGTTTGATATAATGAGAATAAGGAGGATAAAGTAGCTAAGATTGGGACCATTTTCCCCTACTTCTAGAGGCAAACAAAGCTGCTCCCTTAGAAAGGACTTGAAGGTCGTCATGGTCAACTATTTTTACCAATAGCAACATTTTATGGTCTTTTGTAAGCTTTGTTTCCAGCTTCTAGTAGAGAATTTGGAAAATTTATTTCATGACCTCTAATAAATTAGTGGCTTTGACTGTGAAATTGGTTGAAATGTCCCCATACTCGGATATCGGTTGATAAAATCTCCCCACTGTGAAGATTTGCTTTTATTCATTTAAAAAGCGCTTTCTTTGACTGTCTGGTATTTTTAAGTTGCCCCTTCAGCCATAGCCAAATCCAAATAATCAAGCTCGGTTAGTAAGAAAAACTGATTGTTAAAAAACCCCACCCAGGGATGGGGCATTTCTAAATAAATTATTTCTGCCCTCATGCATTTGTTCACTCTTCTACCGTACTTACTCGTCATCTGGTTACATTACCTAGAGAAGGCCTTACTTGACCACGGCAGCAAAGTTACAGGGCTAAAGAAGGAAATCACCTTTTGCTGTTTTGATATTTGATTCCTACGTTAACAAGACATCCATTTGTCAGTGCTGTTATGGCTTAAAGTAACTAATAGGAACTCTGGATGTATCAATTTGATCACATATCAAGAAATATATTAATTCTGTGGAAAGTTGACAGAGAGGCAGACGGATAGGTGACGAGATAGATAGGTGCAGAATAAGATAGAATTCACATACATTCAGTCGAAATGCACTTTTCTCGAGGTAAACTGGGCGATTCGCGCATCCAACCTGCTTCTACCGCTTTATGCGGACATTCAAGCGGCTGAGATTAAAGCACAAAGGCTACGTTTGCTCGAGGCTTGGGATCAGCTTAATACAAGCATTGAAATGCGCTCTCGAATGCTCCAAGACGCCGAAGCTTTGTCCAGATGGCTTACCTGGCTGCATCACTGTTTGAACTGGATTGTATCTGCTCAGAGTGCCATCTCCTCAGCGCAGGAACATGAGATTCAAGAACTTGAAGCCGATCTTAGAGGGCAAGTATTTTGAGTGATATTTCTTAGTGATTGACTTTTTAAGGAGCTGATTTTCTTGAGAGCAAAATTTGATGGGTGATACCTTTTCGGTGCCATCGTGATGGATGGATAACTAGGTAAGTGGATACAATGGAGATGGATGCAGGACAGATGGGTTTGAGATGGATGGGCTCGATATTAGCGAATATGGGATAGGTGAATATATCTAAAACAATGTATGTTGCATCCTTTCAATGTTGTCCACTTACTACTCTCAAAAGCTCCTGCGAATGTTACTTCCTCCTGTCTCGCTTATTTGCTCTTCAAATTTAGGCAGTTATTATTCCAAATTACCCACTGCAAAATACGCGATTGTTGTAAGCCAGGAAATTCCTGTCACTATTAGTTACTCGACCAAATTGAGTCGCTTCCTGGAACAGTGGAATTAGTCGAAAAGCACTAGTTGATCCGGAAGGAGAAAATTACCCAAATTTTTCCCCTGGTGAAGCCATGCAGAAATAATTAGCAGGAGTAGTGGCTTTTTTCTTCTTTTCTCAAACCTGAAACACCTCCACCAGTATTAATTGGTTTTGTCTAGATGCAGTGTTTACCACTTATATCATTTAACAAACATTACTTCATTCTTTCAATCTTTAAACAAAACTTGTTAATTGAAGGATTGGTTGTTTAATTGATTAATTGCTTAATGTGACCACAACCTTACCCAATGCCCAGCTCTTTCACCCTCATTCTAAATTACCATTTTAAAAGTGGCTTAAAATTTTTCACCTGATTTGAAGACCTCTTGCCCCTTTTTGTGTAGAACGAAATTATCCACCTTATTTTTGACTAAGGAATCCACAGTTCTCAATCCAATTTCTGGTCATTCTTTAATGTAACGAATATTATCCTTCTTTCCATCCTTCCTCTATTTCTACTTCTTCGCTATTCAGACACACACACAACTGAGTGTAGGATGGAATAAATTTTCCGGACTTCACATGACTTTCAGAAGGTGGGAACCTTGATGATTGATGATAGCGGTGGTGAATTTATGCTAAAACGTATGGCATTCAAAGATGTAAATCTTACATTTGTCCATTCCAGATTCAGCTTTTAAAAGATGAAAGTAGAAAGATGACCTGTTCGTGATGTTCTTACCTAGACGGGATTAAATAGATTTGAAGCAAAAAAGTAATTTTACAGGAGTCGAAATTTGCGCTAAATAATACTATCTGTAGGTTTAAAATGGCACAGAAGAATCATCGTCAATTTAAATAACAGACTTAATTCTTGAGTATGTGAATGATTTTACACGATTTGTTAGCTCAGATGCATTCGTGCAACTAGATGTAGAGGTTTTTTTTGAAAAAATTGCAGTTGATCTGCACCGAATGCAAAAGAAAATTATAAGCTTATTTATAAAATTCTGTTGTCAAGTTTGAACTAGAACAAATATTTCTTGTTTTCGTGATCATTTCTTGCAACTAAGCAACCTGTTGGTTGTTTTCTTAAAAATTTATATGGTGAAGTCCTATTTTGACGGGGTATTTGTAAATACAAAATAGATTGATAAAGGTGGATGTTGCTTGGTCGAAGACTGGCATAAACAGCTTACTTAACCGCATAATCTGGCTGATAAGTTCGCCAGTTGATGCAGAGAATTTCGGCGTTGATCTGCGTCCAAATAAACTCCTCACTGAGGAATAACATCATCATATCCTATCTTTCCTCTTTCCCCGCAACTTTTAAAGTAGCTTCTTTAATTTGTAGGAAACTGCTCCAACACCAACTACCGGGATTTGTGAGTCAACATAAGCAACTGTGGGATGAGATTTGTGCCTGGGAATCGAGTATCCGACTCCACTGTGAGGAGGGCATTGCAGCCAGCAACTGTCATGGTGTTCTAGAGACCGCGGATTTTGAGACAGTACCAATTTTCATTGGCATCCGCAAAATGTTGGCCAGAAGTGTCAATCAACTTAAAGCTGACTGGTATGTCGTGGGCTCAACAAGTGATGATGTTGCCTCAGCTATACAAAAAGCTATTTTTACCTCCCTGTGTGAGGCGAAACCGCTGCTACCCTCGCAGGTCATAAAAAGTGGTGCTGCTCTCTTGATTATACACTTCTACCAGCTTAAAATTGCATGGTGGCGATATTGGCGTCATTTGGAGGCACTGACTGCCAAGTTGGGCTTATTGAGGTGAGATAAATAATCTGTTTTTCATACCGCATAAATTCTGGAGGTTCAATTTCACCATTTAACCGTTTACGAATGCAGACTTCTCCTTTTCTCTTAATCGCTGGTGTCTCTACCATTGTGTAGGTAATTCACCTCGGCCTAATGTTGATTTAAGTAGAAATGGCATGATTAAAGTCGACTTAAAGAAACGCTTTTGAGCGGTAACTGAGAAAGCTATACCCTTTACCCTCCTTTTTTTGCCTATTTTATCTTGCACCTGTTAAGCTGAAAACTACAAAATAAAAGGATTCTGTATACTATCATTTATAAGTTATCAAAAGACGATTATAATAATATTATATTGTCCAAAAACTCGAAGAATTGGCCTGATTTAGAATCTGTGAATCTGAGAAATTGGAAATGAAACTAATCATTTCATTTTTCTTTTTTAAACTTCATTGGTCACTTATTACCTGATAATCAAAGAAAGGCTTTATCCTAATCTTTAACCTAATTTTAAGAGACCTTCAAAGTTTGGAAAATTGGCTCACCTTAATGGAGGAACGCGAAGATAGAAATGACTTGGGTTCTAGCCTAGAGGAGACTATGGTTTTGACAGAAGAACACCGAAAGTTCTCACGCGTTGTTGACCTTCAGGGTGAGAAGTGTCGACGTCTAGCCGAATTCGAAATGGTAAATCCTTTTTAAAATTTGCACAAAGAAGGTTAACCCCAAAAGTCGATCGACGCTCAAGTTTTGAATGCACTTGTAGGCACAGCTCGAAGAATCCGATCCAGATTGGGAGACAGCCATGGCGAATCAAATGGTAGAGAACTTAGAAAGACTGAACATCTTACCAAAGGTTTCAAGCATTTCTGATGCTGCTTCCTCGAAATCTGTTCCATTACAGGAGGAAGTGAAGCCAGTTGAAGATGCACCATTTGGTAAGCGTCATCCCTCAACTATATTTGTGATTAATTCCAAATTACTTTCTTACAAATATAAGCAGATCCCTTGCCCTTCCACATGTCTCATTTTTATTCAAATTATTAATAAGTACAGTTTGCTCAAACGGATCCATTTAGATTGTATTTGTACCTCGAAAATGTATTAATTGAAGTGATTCCTTCCTAAACATTACTTTTTTAGAGTTTTTAAATAATGGGCAAATTGGCCTGTTGGGATAACGCGTCTCTAACTAGCCATATAATACGAAGTTCAAAGTAAGCTGGCGAAAGTCTGGTCTTTGTCTTATTTCAGGGCGTATGGAGGGAGTGCTCTACCGCAAATTGGCGAGTCGAAGATACTCCAATGGTGTGATTAGTGCAGGACGCTGGCAAAAGTGTTTTGCTCTACTAAAGTCCAACACGATGACTTTGCATGTACTTAGCATAAGCGATCCTCCGACAGTGAAGAGGTTGGCAGTCCCTAATTTGCTTTATTTGTTCATCACTATTGTTATTATTTTTGAAGGGAGCGTTAAATGTGACTCAACTTCAGCTTAACTGAAGAAGTTAGTAATGTGAGTTTCTGTAACTACTTTAAGAAACTGGCTCTAACGTACCACAAAAAAACTAGCAGTTCTCTTCAACATGTGTAGTAACGAAGTGATAATTTACGCCTGCGTCAACTGGAAGAATCTTGGTCAGTGCTAGGCAAATCGGTGCCACCAGCAAATCGCGCAAAAGGGCGACAATATGATTCAAAGAACTTTAGCGGTCTTATTATTGCTTGTTCCAGACATTTCACTTACTAGCCACCCCCGTAATTCTGATGCATGCATCTCTTCATTCCAAAAATGTTGGTTTGTGCTTACTGGGACTTCCTCACCTCCTGAAGGTCAAACAACAATTACAGCTAAAATTATTCCACTCTATATTACCCGAAGGTAAGCATGAAAAAATCCCCTAAAACCATGCAGAAGAGTTGATTCCACTGAATCAGCCAGTGGGAACTAAGTCATTCTTACATGGCTCTACAATACGGGCGCTCACACCATCTACCAAAATATTGACATGTTGGAAGATTTGAACCTTGGAGTGGGAATCGGAGGGGTGATACAGTTTTACTCCCCTTTGGTAGCGATTCTCCAGGTGGCGGCCAAAAATTTTTTACAAACACATGAGAAATAGAAGTCAGAGAGGAAGGGAGTAGGTAGAACTAGGGTGTTTTATATTATAAACAGAACGCTATGTGAAAGAGGTATTAATATGTCCAAGTCTGGTCAAGGAAGGACTGTCGATTCTAAGGTAGATTACTTCAGCCAAAACAGGCGTTCTAAGAGGATATAATTGATTGTTTAGGTGTTTTACTAAAAAAAAACACTAAATGATTCAGTTGCTTTAGGTTGTAGAGATCGAACGGTTTTAAACAAATTGTACTCTCTCTCTTTTTGACATATCAAAACTAAGAAAAATTAACCGTCACTCCAACAAGTAAATAACTTTTGATTTGCTCTTTTGAAAAGCAACTTTTATGTCAGAAATTAATGCCAATTATTTAAAAGTGCTTTATTTTTTGTACTTAGGCTTAGAGTCCTCATTGATTTATCCATTTAAGCATGGTCTCATATTTAACTGATCCATGGCTCACATAAACGCACATTTAAACAAACTACCGAATCCATACCAATATGCTTCAGAAGTGGCTCATAACTGTTAAAGTTTCAAGCACTTTCTTGATGCTTCAGATTCACATCTCAGACGGTTTTTAATGAATTTCTACACATTCATCTGAAGTGTCCTTTTTCAACCTCTCGTCTTTCCATTGCACCCTTCGCGTCACTTTATTTAATGTAACCCTAATTTATTTGCATATATAAGTAAATTCTAAAAGACGCCTTTTTTTCAGCTATGTAAAAGTGATTTTCCACCACCAAGTGTAACCTCTATGTTTCCTCAAAACTACCATACCACCAGAAGGAGGCTGTAAATTTGTTGACCAGGCTAAACAGCTAATGCAACTCTTTCTTCATAATAGACTATTTCTTTGCTACGTTTTCGTATCTTTTAGAAGTTGGATATCCGAAAATGCCGAAGTTGACTTCAGATTACCACTATGTCGAGAAATGACCACCAGTTTGGTGGAACAGAGGGCCGTCGATATGGGACTTTTCAAGATTCACAACCTCGCGACTGGTGATTGTCACCATTTTAAGGTAAGGTTTCGCACATTTGCAACCAAATTTTTCAGCAATCCTCAGTAGACGCTTAAAGAGAATGTCCAGTTAAGGACTACCCTACCACAAAGCTTGAGTTTTGTCCACAGTAACTTAGGGCATGGTGGGAAAGAGTTCCTTTTTAGTTCTTGAGGTGAACTTTTTGGGCCCTTGTGTGCGATAGCAGAGCCATTCAGAAAAAAATACAAGCGGGATACGGGCTTGGTGAAAGAGATTTAGGTTAGTCATCAGCACTTGACAGTTTAGAGATTCATTGTGACCAAACGTAATTTCTAGGCATTAAATCCTGAAAAATAGCAGCCTTGTTAGATTCCGTCTCAACTTGCAGGCTGAAACGAGAGCTTTGGCAGAGAAGTGGGTAGCCGCTATAAACAAGGTCTGTTTGAAATCGCCCGCGATGGAGGATTCTGATCAGGAATTGATGCGGATCAAGGGCACGGAATTACACTTCGCCTCGAAGTCTCTACGTCCAACACGAAAGTCTCAGTCTACCACCTGCCTGCCCATACTTCGACTCATCAGCAAGCGCAGTGAACGATCACATCGACGCCGATGTTCACAGCATCCACCACAACGCCGCCGCCGCCACTCAAGCTCCTCTACTTCAACGATGGATGGAGAAATGGAATTGGATACAGAGATTGTCGGTATCCGTTCTCTGAACCCTCACACCCTCCTCTCCTCCCTTGGAGTGCCGACGCTAGGCAGTGGTGCGCACTCTAGAGCTGCGATTGCCCTCACTCTACCACTTCGGGCTCTGTGTCGTCGCGTCATGCGACACTCTAATCTACCCGTCTCAGTGTCGCATCACTCGCACCTAAACGTTGATGGTGCTGTCAGTGTCGGCAACGGTGGTGGTGGCAATAGCGTCGTGGCTGGCAGTGATGACGAAGCGTCCCTGATGTCACCCTTTGCCATGAGAGACTCAGAATGTGACGACAATAATGACAACAGCAATAACAATTCCGAGACAGACATTGATAATGTGGATGAATTTTCGTGAGGAGGTTGGATTGTAGTGCAGATAAATAAAATTTCCCTCTTAGTCTTAATACAGGAATACCTTGACCCTAGCTAGGTTTTTGCAATAACTGACGAGCGTTGAAATGAAGCAGATTTACCCATTTTGAATGGCTACGTAAAGTTTCATACCTCATGTCAGTTTAATAAGTACTGCCTCCACCAAAGGTCGGGGCGACTGTTTGTTGGAGCTGCTTGCGATCCCAGAAAAAGGTTTGGCAATTTACCAATGAAAACTTGACTTTTTGAAGCATTTCAGATAAGTTTGATTGATTGTCTGGTATTGCACGGCGATTCACTTTCTGAGAATGTGAATAATTTCCCCATCATCAGGGTCATACTAGAAGATATTATTGCGCCTCAATACGTCAGTTTTTCAGACCTCTGGAGTCTGCGCTAGGGCCACTTTCTCGTGCACACAGTGTCAATCACTGGGGCAGTGGAGGCATCCATTTTAAGGTCATTGTCCAACGGATCTTCGTATTGGGAACATGATAGTGTCTGTACTCATGTGTATGTGCTCGCGTTCTGGGATTAATATCCTTACTGTTCCGTATAGCTGCCCCAATTAGCACTTGCGGTATTTAGTAAACACTTAGAAATCTGAATAGAATAGAATCAGGTAAAAGTTATATTGCACAGTTTATTGGGAAGTTAGAATATTTAACTATTTGGCAGAGGTGTGTGGCTCTTCAAGCTGAATTCGATGTCGTAACATGCCAAAGTACCGTGTGTGACCATTTATTACTAGAGGATGGGGGAGTTTAGAGGCAACCGTCAAGCTCCCTAAGGCCGTGGCGCGCAGAACAAAAGTACATCCTGTGAAAAATGAAGTACTCGCTTTGTTTAATACACGGTTAGGCAAGATATCAAACCACTGCGTTTAGTCAATCAGTTAATGGGATCGACAATGGAACAGTTTTATATCGTTCGAACACATCAAAATGTTTTAATTCACATTTTTCAAGATGCACATCAGGACCAAAAGGATGGGAACATCAAAAAAGATGACTTTATGATAATGCGTATGGTTTACAAATTTTAGAAAGGCTTTCAGGAGGTATTGACCAGAGTTGAACAACTCACAGATATATTGAAATTAATAAATTGCTGAGTATCGAAGGCTCTAGAGGGACTGAAGTTGTTATGGACAGAAACGCAGACTATGAATACTGAAGAGCTTGGGTAGATAACCAAACACCAAGTCGTCATACGGCTCCTCCTTTTATGCGTGTCGTCGTCAGAGAACCCGTAGATGATTCTTCGGCATGGCAATCGCAGCACAGTCGGTGCTTTCAAAACTTCCCATGAACCAGAAATAGCGGTCATTAAATACTCGTGAGAGAGAGGATATTTGTCCTCAACGTCGTTAATGTATATTAGTGATTACGCCGTGCCTCGAGTTTTGTTCTGTCGATGTACTCTGTTTTGGATAGAAGGATCAAATTAAGGGACTTTTCCTTTCTCTTTTACATGCAACTGACGATCCACTCATGGAGAAATGTTTTGAAACTTATCAAGAGTAAACAGGTTGCGTCATTGAAATGTAAACCACATCTTTTGATAGTTGCTTCCCAATTGATGTACTTCTCTCGCATTGCCCTGTATGGACAACTGCTTATGTCTTATTAAAGTACTACCCTTAATGCATTGAAATGCACCCCTAATTTTTACCAACGACTTAACAGTCATAAACCAGACGCTGGTTGCCATGCAAACAGCTACTCCTGTTCAGTGTACCCAAATTCACAATTGTCTTTATCTTTCGTTTCGAAGGCTAAATTATTTGCTGCTAATTTTTAATTAGTAGGCAATATTTTATTCGAATACGTGGCAATTTTGTTTCCCACTTAAAGACTGGCCTCGTTTCAAATGACTTTTAACCAATTTCGGCAACGTAGTCGAAGAAGCCGCGAGGATGTCTACGAACTCGACACCAATGGCCGTTCTTTGAATCCACATGGTCCGACCGGTGTGGGTGGTCGTAGTCTTTTGCGACTTCGGGCTCCAATTCACTCCCCCGATCCCATTGCCACAAGGCAAGAGGTTACATAACTTTCCGGGAAATCTAGCTGCTTTGGCAGCTAACGCCTTCAGCCTTATCATGATTTTAGTTTGAATGCTGACGAAAAGGGAGCTAACAATTTTAAGTTGGATACCAATTCTGCAATGTGTCGTTATCAGACAGAAAGATAATGGAAAGTGGGCTCTACTCAATTTCCTTATAGCTTTGATTTAACTAACTACCGATTTGAAAATTTTCATTCTTTTATATATTTGGATAATCTTTTAAAGTACGGATGATCTAGGGAAGGAAGTTTTCGCTCCCTTGAAGCTCGAGTGTTTAAAATCCATGGGCTACTGGATGCCTCAAAGAGTGGCAGGAAGAGGCGTTGATTTGAAGTCAATGGATGCCTGGATTTAGCTACAGTCCATCAACAAATGGAAGTTGGGTGATGTCTTTCCAGCTATTTCAGCAGCATGAATGACCATCTCACACATGCGGGGTAATCCCTTTGCAAAGCGCTACATTTTCAAAAATGTGTGGAAACCCGAGTTAGTGCAACTGTATTATGGATACGTGATAATATAGTGTAGAACCAAATGTGGGTTTAACGAATCCTCCCCATCCATTATATGGGTTTGTGCCCCTTTCATAGAAGATAGTTCTTACTCAGTCATTGTGTGTTCACCATCACTTTGAAGCGTTTGAATCAGTGGCTATCAACCATACTTATTAGAATAAGGTTATACTCTTGAGGGTCGAAGTGGCAGTGGGATTGTGGTGCTACTACGACAAATGCCGAGGAATGAGACCGATGTATCACACTTGGCAGTGGATGCGGTAGACGCTTGCGTCTTCATATTTAGTTCTTTGGAGAGATTGCATTAGTCTGCAGACGTGGCGGTAGGTGACAATCCTCTTGCTGCTTAATTCCTTTGCTTAATAATCTTGAGGTAATTTATTATAACTGACTTAGGAGTCGCTTGTTTTAATTGATATTAATTTGTAATTCAGACAAAATGGACCTCCTAGGCGAAGCCTCAGACTTAACGAATTTGCTTGATACGACTTGCTCAACCGTGTATTAATTAATGCCTACCAATCAACATGATTAGGTGGCGCTGAAGAGGTTAATACTGATTGCATTCACCTGTGTGTGGGCTTAAGGAGTCAATACCAAGGCATTATATGGCTCGAAGTGGAACCGTAAGCTTTTCCATAGTTTGTTCTTAAGTAACTGTCGAAAGTCTCGCCTCAGTGATGTTTTGTGATGGTAATGCAAGTGCAAACGCCAGCACTAGTGGTAATTCAGCGACCTTAGAGATAAGCACAGGCTCTATTGGAAGGAGTATCAATTCATGTGGATTAAATGCTCTGTAAGCAATAGCTGTTGAAATCGCTTTGCTTCATCTTGGCATTAGTGTAGAAGTGAACTAGTGATGGGCTCCGCTTCACAGTTCGTGTCATGTAAGGGAGGTGGAGGGGAATGGGCACAGAATAAACTGCACCGCTTATTGTCAACTTTTTAAAAAACGCATCTGTAAATAAAAGAGAGTTTGTAGTTCATTTGCTGCCATTTAACTTGCCAATTGAACGAGTTGTTGCCTGCCAACCCAATCACCAATACCAATTGCAACCAGGTGATCCTGAAGCAATAAATAAACACCGAGTATGCTTGCACAAGTTAAGATGAGATCTGCTGGGTCAACAATTCTTGAACAGCGGTTAAGAGCTATGAAGCAAAAATATGCGCAAGTGAATTGTTCCATTCCTTCCAAGGAGGCCACTTTATTTAAATGATACAATTCCATGCAACTCTTCACACACTGCTCTTGCGAAAGCCTTTACAGAGGACTACTACAGTGTGCTTTTCTACTGAAAATGTGCCATGACTGAAAACGATTGAATAATATCTTAAATTAATAATTTTACTTCGCAGGCAGCACCTCCTCATTTCTTCCACTTCCATTTTTTTCCCTTATTCTTCTTCTCGTTCTTTTTCTTCCTCCTATACTTTACATTTTTATTTCTCTTCTTCAAAGTACTTTTAGTACTCGCCCTCTTAACAGCTACACTAACAAATTTGGTAATGCTTGCTGCCAAATGCGTTTTCGAAAATCCCCTCGCTACTTGTAGTTGAGGCCAACGTTAGAGAATATTCGCAATGTAACTAGGACGTTGGCATATGTTAAGACTTATAGGGCTCAACTAGACTTTATGCATTTACATTGCGACGATTTTATTTGGGAAATACTGACACGAAAATTGGAAAAAGGTTTGAATTCTCACTCCGTAAAGATCCACTTATGTTCACGCATTCCACAAAACTTGTTGATCGGTAAGAATTCCTGGCCTTTTACATGTCCATAGGCATCAACATTGGAAATTCTAGTTAATGAAGGCATTTATGCGTGTAGTGGAAAGGCAGTTGACTCCTGTCAGCGACCATCAGCACCATAATTAACTCAGTGGTCAGATTTCATCAAGTGCAATGTCCGCATGAATACCTCATAGATGTACATTCACTTTGAGAATGCCCAAGTTTCAGGTGTCTTTTCAGAGATCAGGGGCAGCACCGTGAATGAATATAATTTTTAAATCTTTAGCCTAATTTTCTCCTCTCAGAGCACACTCACACCTTCGCCTTTGGTTTGTTTAACAGTTTCTTGTTTTCAATTAAACCTCCCTTCCAGTTTAATGTTAACTGCTCCTACCGCTGCCATCTCTCATGCTTTAACACTTATAACTGGATAGGATTTTCATCTAACCATTAAATTAAATGCATTTGTTTCCCCCTTTAAAAATTTAACGTCCATGTGATCACCATTACTTTGTTTAACTTTCGAAATTTTGCAGAGAGAAGGTTATTTGAAGTAGCGGCGAATATATGACTTATACAAGTATTTTATTAATGCATATCTTCAAGTAGTTGCGCCTTAAGGGGGTAATTGAGCATATCCCTGTAGATGGAAATTTGTTACTATTATTACTTTAGCGTAGAGGTAAACTCTAGGGTCACGGACTAGGCGGATGACTATGACACCAAGATGGTGGAAAATGCAGGCGAAATTTGGGGGTGAGGAGTTTGTGCAGTTGAACGTGGATTTTAAGTCAATATCGTTTGGCCTTAGCATTTAGCAGTCGGTGCTTTGCATAACCTCAATTCTTAGTCGGTCATTATAATGCAGTCGATGTTTGCAAGGCCACTGATGCGCTAGAAAAGAGCGTTGTGAGCCCATTATCTACCGGAAAGGAGCAAGATTTGATACCGATGTCGTTGGTGCGTGGTATCGGTTTCGATAAATGCATTTTCGTTAAGCGCGCGCTCTGTGTTTACTATCCTACCCCAATCGCAGTAGATGTGCTTCTACTACGACATTTAGGGGTCTTCTTTTATCACAATAGGGAAGTCAGTTTGGTGTAATCGAATTTGTCTATCACTGGTACTGGAGGAGCTTACAGAATGACTTCAGATGATGCAATGTGTCATTTCTGTGGTAAGGAAATACTTTTATTAACGTGCAAGCGGTCTGGAAGACGATCTGGATGTTCTGACTTCAAAGTGGTCACATCAGCCACATATCCGCCACTACAAGATTGTAATAGGCTTGTCCACAGTGTTTCGTACTGTAGTGTATTTAGGAGGTCACACCGAGATTTCGTTGCGAGGGTGAAGCAGATGTCGAGACAGAGGTAAATATCGCAAGCCTTGAATTTGTGTCTGCTGCGAATATCTGGTCTCATAAACCTTAACAATTGTGTCTAAGCATTTACTTTCAAAACAGTTGTCCTCTTTTTTGTAGCATCCACTTCTTATTTGAACAGTAAATCATGATCACATTCTCCAACTTTAAATCCATCTATAAATTCGCAATTATTTTCAGTATTCAGTGATACAAAGTGCTGTTCTAAAGTGCGGAAGCGTTAGCTAATTAAGAAAGAAATGCAAATTCAATCATACGGAAAAGTCGGATAAACGGAAACTTACTCCGAGGTTATGGGAAATCCATTCTTCTCTCGTCACTCTGGCACTGCCACAAAAATGTTGCCCAAGTGTCATCTTCAGGTACTTGTTCATCTTCGAAAGACAAAGCCCTTATTTCCAACGCTAAGGGGAGGTAAGCCTTGGCATGTTTGAACTGCATTGTTGGAGTTAGGCAAACCATAATGATATTTCACCTCTCACAGCAGAATACCTACATTTAACTGCTGTGAATATTTGCAGAAGATCTCCACATTGTAATACTTGAATACGTGACCAATTACTTCCTTGTTTGAAAATAAAGCACAAAATTTTGTCCCATCATTTTCTTTAATCCAGATTTGTCAAATTCTTTGTAACTTTTTGCATTATAAATCCTGAGACTCCCTGAAATCCCAGAAAAACGCCATTTTTAATGGCCCAGAGCTTTCCATTACTGCAAATCATTCCCAATTATCCAAGAAATCGCGACCTTACACACTCCCCTCTGATTATCCGGGCCTGCACTTAGCGCACATTTACGGTCGCTCTAGTCCCAAAGGTGTTTCATTACTGTAAATTCACATGGCAAAGTTGACCGAGACCTCAGACTCAGACACTGTCGCTGACTCAGTGCCCACTAGTCTAAAGTCGGCAACTAGGCCCGTACCCGTACTTCACAACTTTGTGTTGACTCACCCACATTTAATCAACAAAAACATCCATCCTGAAGTTTGGCTAGTGGGTACTTTGGGGGCAAGACAAAGGGAGTGTGGAAACTCCAGTTTATAACAAATGCATATGTTCGTTGCACGTTCTAAATTGCGCTTTATTTGGTAATGCCAGCTTACTATAAAATACTCAAATCTTGGAAAAAGTCATTCCTGTAAACATTCAAGCATTTAAGTTGAGCCGCATTGATACAAGTAAATGAATGCGAGTGGGGCACTGGCAGAATGGCGATCACCGCACTTTACCCAGAGGCATCCTTTTAGTGTTGCAGAAAAACTCATTCTGAATCCAAACTACTACATTTACCATTGCAACATGTTCTCATTTTAGCCCAAAACGTCTGCCGACAATGACCGCGGGACTAAAAGAACCATCCCAGCTCCATTTTAAATTACTTTCTACTCATTTTCCTGTAGTGTGGTCACAAATATGGCCAAGCACCTAATTTAAATTGTGCTTCTACATCCCTGCTTTCCGCTTCGGTTACCTCTACGTCTCTACTTCGAGTTTTATCTATTATGGCCTATTTTATTTCATATTCCCTTGCCATGTTCTATTATCTGAACTTTTTCCAAAAATGTTTTAGCAAATAAAAACACGAGACTGCAATTTAAAAGGAAGCAGATGCTGACTGGCTCTAATGATAACCTTGGTCCTGCTTAAAACTTGCATCAATGTACGGTAAGATTTTGTAAACAACCATTATTTATTTAGTAGTGTATTACTTTTGTTTTTTGTGTGATCTGATTTTCCTTTTACAGTCAAGGTAACTCCGACTCCTGTCGTCAATGCGCATGTCAAAGTCCATTAAGCCACTATTGCCCGAGCTAAAACGCAGAGCACTTACACTACCCAATGTGCTGGAAGTCACGAAATCTGATATCTCAAGGTCATCCCTTTCCACTGGTTCATCCATTCTGCTGAGGCCTAACAGCTCCGGATCAGGTTGCATGTAGTGCATGTCCTCGTACGGCAGATTCAGCGTGCTTTCGTCATCTGTAAAATAAGTCTTTCCTTTTTTGGACAGCTTCATCTTATTAATTCCTACAAGGTACGACTTCGCCAAGGAAATACTGGTTTCTTCACTTCTACTATTGCAATTATCACTGAATCTGCTTTCCATGAATTTGAGTTGTGGGTCCAGCTCTATGAGGCTTTTATCTTTGGCATCACCTAACTCTGAAACTTCCATTTTTGTCATAGTGTCAGGAGAGGCTTCAAGAGAGGTCAGCGATCCAACGGTTGTAGTCATTTCCTCGTTGGCATCTTCGTGACCTGCTCTCATAGAAAGGGAGCTAAGTTGGCTCATCTTATAATGGTTTGATGTGCTGGAGCTAATTGAATCCAGTGACGAAATTGTTGGATTTTCTTGAGCTGTGCGAATAGCCTGCACAATTGCGTTTTGGTCTATCCCTGCGGATTGTAATAATGAATTCATTCCTTCTTTCACTTCTTTTTCTCTGTCTTCTTTAAACTCACTGTCCATTTTCGAAATATGGATGATTTGAGCCGTGTTTACAGGTCTCGGTGATTGATAGTCACCGGAGGGGTTATCAGCCAAATCTGTCTTGAAGTCAGTGTTCTCCAATTTAGCGTTGTTATGCCCCTCAATCCATGGTTGCCGTGATGGTCTGCATCTGCCACTTTCAGTAAATGAGTTGTTAAAAGCTCTCGACCCACAATCTACTGTACTGCGCGATGCTTTTGAAAACTCAGTTCCGGCATATTTTTTTCTGCTCTTTTGACTGTGAGCCTTCGAAGGCGTCGTTTTTATTGAAGTCAATTTGATTTTAGCTTGAGGTGAACGTGCTATCAAACTTCCATGGCTGGCATTTACATCAGTTAAACCTTCTACCCCTTCAAGTTTCCCTCTTACTGACTTGGCTATTCCAGTGGATGAGCCTAATGTAGTTTTTTCTTTACTAACTGGCAGCATTTTGTAGGAGGTAGACGCAGAATGGGTCACTAAAGTGCTTTCTGGGATGGCGTTTAAGGCACAGACCTCCGAACTGCTCAATCTCGCTAGCTTTTGACGCTGCACCTGAACTTCAGGAAAACTGTTCCAATTATTTTTCCAAGAGAAAAAGGTATCTGAGTTGGAGGTCTCAGAAATAGTTTGCCGCAAATCTGCTGACGTTTTCACAAATTTACTAGTGTTTTTAAATGACTCAACGTTGGAAGGCCCAGAGTTGTCAGTTTTTGCTATTTTTAAGGGTGGTGTTAATGGGGACAAGTCTCCAGGTTCGCCGCTCGATAAAGAACTTAGGCTGCCAATATTTGCAGTCATTGTATTTTTTGTCAATTCACTGTCTTGAAAAGGGTTTTTTAATTGGTCAGAATTCCGCACTAATACGGAGCTGCCACCGATTGATAGCCCAAGTTGACTTAACGAATAACACGGCGTTTCAATCTGTTTGGTGGTTATTTTCTTGGCTGCCTTAGCACAAATCGGTAGATTCTTGTAGTCAACATCAACCAAAGAACCTATACTTATATTGCGTTTTACTTTACACTTCTTTAGCATTGGCTTTTCACTATTGGTAGCCACCGTTTGGGATGTCGCATCTTCATTGTCTGTAATGGATGGTGATTTGGCTAACTTGTCAAGAACCCTCTTTTTCTCATTATAATTTAATTGCACGGTTAGGGAACTCATAGTAGAGATATCAGAAGCAGGCGTTGTGGTGCTTTGAGACGGCTGTGATACTAAGTCAATTTTTTTGAAGCTAGAAAGCGGATTTTTTGTGCCATTAGAAGACTCAGAAGAGTTATCCTCCTTGATGGGGCTTAACTTTTT